ACTTTTATTACTCGATTTCGCTTAGTTTTAGGAATAAGACGTTTTTTTAACACATTTTTTCTTATTTCTCCAAAGAAGAAAGTACAGAACTTAAAGCTGTAGCAATTTTTTAGTGTTTTGCATTTGTAAAGATTAATAAATTAAGAAGTTTGTTAAAAGTTAAATAACTTAAAAAAATAAATGGAACACTCTACTTTTTATTTTTGCATCTAATAGATTGATAAATTGTCTATCTAAAAAAATCACTATAACGGACACAATTATTTGTTTTGTGCAAGCACTATATCAGTTATTTCATTAATCAGATAAAAAGCAAATATAATTGTTAAGTAAGAATAAAAAAACAAAAAAATATTTATTTTACGTGAATGATAAAAAAATATCATAATTTATTTCAGGAATCAGATTAAAAGCAAATAATATTTACAAGTAAGAAATAAGTAAACGAAAAAAATATTTATTTTATCCGCAAATGTCACAAGTAAAAGTTTTATCTTTCATCCATGGAGTAAAAATTCTATTTTTGCGCCAAAGCGTTTTTACTTTTGGCATGACATTTACCAATGTTGTTTTTTTTCTTCTCTCTTTTGCGGCTTCAGCAATTTCTGAGAGGTACATTGTAGATCATTAACATTTAAAATTCTGCACTACTAACTGCACTAGTCATAAAGATTAAAGTCAAGTATGATTCTTCTGGTAATAAATATTGTATATTAGGATTTTAGTTACCAAATAATTAGATTTGTTCTCCGAATGATTGATCTGTCACTAACTTGTTCAAAATGATTATTTGTAAATTTATGTACAATCYTTTAAAAATGTAATTAGCTAAAATTGTTTTTACAAGTGTAAAATCCTCACATTCCTATCACCAATATACAGAGTTGAAAAAGTCTACACACTTTTTCAAAATTTATTACACAAAAACTAAGATAGCTGGAACAAATTTTTTCTTACTTCTGCAAAGAAGTAAGTACAGAACTTAAAGCTGTAGCAATTTTTTATTGTTTTGCGTTTGTAAAGATTAATAAATTAAGAAGTTTGTTAAAAGTTAAGTAACTTAAAAAATTTAAATGGAACACCCTATTTTTTATTTTTGCATTTAATAGACTGATAAATTGTCTATCTAAAAAAATAAACTTGTAATGGTTAGAATTGATAAATAAGAAGATATTTAACATTCAATATTAATATCCGTTGATTTATCCAGAGATTGTAAAAGTCGTTATAAATACTGAAATTCGAATTATTTTATTGTAAAAATAAAGAATAATGGATTCAGTTTAACACAACTGTGATTATTAAGTGATATTTCTTCCATCTCTTGTGCAACTGTGCACTTTTTGGCTACTGAAACAACAGTAATTATTTTTTGTAATGTTTAACATTAAATATCTTTTTAGTTATTGATTATAAACACCTAAAAGTAAATAATTTTAAAAAGACAATTTAATAATCTTTTAAATGCAAAAACAATAAATAGAGTGTTCCATTTATTTTTTTTAAGATATTGAACTTTTAACAAACGCCTTCATTTTTTTATCTTTGCAAATGCAACACACTAAAAAAATGTTACAACCTTATAGCTTGTACTTTCTTCTTTGATATTAAAAAAAAAATATTTCTAGATGTCTTAGTTTTTGTGTAATAAATTTTGAAAAAGTGCGTGTTTTCGTCAAAAAACCATCTTATTTTTAAAACTAAGCAAAATCGACCAATAAAAGCCAAAAACATTGTCATAAAAATCTACATCCAAAAACGTTAAGAACCATATGGTGTTCGATTTTAAAAAACACAAGTTTGTATTGTAACTTTTTTTTGACTTTTTGGACTTTTTCAACTCGCTGGGACAGCCTGTATAAATAGAGATCGGTTGATTGAAGCATGTTTTACAGTGTTTTAAAGTTTTATTTAGTCAGAGTAATTTGGTTGCAATTACTGATGTAAAAACGAGTTTCCAAATAAGAATCTGGGTTAGTCTTGAATTTACGAGATGTGTGCATTTTTGAGTAGTAGGTAAAAACATTTATTTCACAACTGGAAAAGGAAACTAAAATGACGTATTTGTTTAACATTTTCTTTAGTAATAGTAAAGGAATTTCTGTTATCACCATCATCGTTTCGTACTATCTGTAGAATTTTTCGAAGAAAATCACTAATGTCTTGATATTTAAAAATAACAATGTTTCCGAGGATTAACGGTTCATGTGTGAGTCACTTGGAAATAAGAAAGTTAAGTTGTAATTTACAATAAATATTCTAATCAATTCAGTGATGTAATTTCTATTAATATAAATAACCGGTAAACTTTTGCTTTGAAAGAGCAATCGTATCTTGTTTGATTAAAAAGGGACTAATTAGCAAAAATCATGTCTTGTTAATTTACATGTCAAGGATTTTTTTATTTATTATTGACAAACAAACTACCGTTAAGTGCAATATTTGCAAAATTGTTTATTTATTGTTGTCAACAGATAAGTTTTTCAAATTATCCTTGGCTCTCACCTTATGAAATTCAGAATGTAAGTTTATTTTATTTTTTATTACTTGTGAACATTTCGTATGTGAAACATATACTGTCGTCTACCATTAAGTTTGATGGATTTGTGGATTGTTTATTCAGGTTGTTGGTAGACAAAAACGTGACTTTTTCATGGCTAGTATATTTATTTGGGGTGAGTGTAAAACATTAATATCATCTTGAAATTTGATTCACTTGAGATTATTTTATAAGCTATAGTAGCTATAGGGCTACTTTCAGAGAGTTCCAAATACTAAAACTTTACTTTTTAAGCAGAAAACATTTTTTGTAGCTTCTTACTTTAACTAACTTTGATATATTTGGTGCAGAAATGTCATAATTTGGCATTTTTCGATGTTTTATTTTACAAAATGGCCACAAAAGTTTTAACATTCTGTCATTTTTCTTTGTTTTAAAATTTCTCGGTTTTACTATCTTTAAAAATTTTTTAGTTTAGTTTATGAAAAATCGGTTAAAATGATTTACGTTTTCCGGCGTTTTTGAAAAATTTATTACACAAAAACTAAGACATCTAGAAATATTTTTTTACTACCGCAAAGAAGAAGGTATAAGCTATAAGGTTGCAATATTTTTTTAGTGTGTTGCATTTGCAAAGATAAAAAAATGAAGGCGTTTGTTAAAAGTTGAATAACTTAACAAATTTAAATGGAACACCCTATTTATTGTTTTTGCATTTAAAACATTATTAAATTGTCTTTCTAAAATTATTTACTTTTAGGTGTTTATAATCAATAACTAAAAAGATATTTAACGTTAAACATAAAAAAAAATTACTATTGTTTCAGTAGGCAAAAAGTCCACAGTTGCACAAGAGATGGAAGAAATATCACTTAATAATTACATTTGTGTTAAACTGAATCCATTATTCTTTATTTTTTCAATAAAATAATTCGAATTTCAGTATTTATAACGACTTTTACAATCTCTGGATAAATCATAAATGTCATAGATATTGATAGGCATTGTTGGTACAATTGATATTGAATGTTAAATATCTTTTCATTTATCAATTCTAGACATTAAAAGTTTATTTTTTTAGATAGACAATTTATCAATCTATTAGATGCAAAAATACAAAATAGGTGTTTAATTTTTTAAATTATTTAACTTTTAACAAACTTCTTAATTTATTAATCTTTACAAATGCAAAACACTAAAAAATTGCTACAGCTTTTTTTCTGTACTTTCTTCTTTGCAGAAGTAAGAAAAAAATTGTTCTAGCTGTTTTTGTGTAATAAATTTTGAAAAAGTGTGTAGACTTTTTCAACTCTGTATATTGGTGATAGGAATGTGAGGATTTTACACTTGTAAAAACAATTTTAGCTAATTGCATTTTTAAARGATTGTACATAAATTTACAAATAATCATTTTGAACAAGTTAGTGACAGATCAATCATTCGGAGAACAAATCTAATTATTTGGTAACTAAAATCGTAATATACAATATTTATTACCAGAAGAATCATACTTGACTTTAATCTTTATGACTAGTGCAGTTAGTAGTGCAGAATTTTAAATGTTAATGATCTACAATGTACCTCTCAGAAATTGCTGAAGCCGCAAAAGAGAGAAGAAAAAAAACAACATTGGTAAATGTCATGCCAAAAGTAAAAACTCTTTGGCGCAAAAATAGAATTTTAATTCCATGGATGAAAGGTAAAACTCGTGACATTTAGTAATAAAAATAGACACTTTTGTGACATTTGCGGATAAAATAAATATTTTTTTCGTTTATTTATTTCTCACTTGTAGATATTATTTGCTTTTAATCTGATTCCTGAAATAAATTATGATATTTTTTTATCATTTACGTAAAATAAATATTTTTTTGTTTTATTTATTCTTACTTAACAATAATATTTGCTTTTTATCTGATTAATGAAATAATTGACATAATGCTTTGACAAAACAAATAATTGAGTTTGTTATAGTGAACAATTCTACAAAGTACTTTGAAATTTATCCTATTTTCACTAATATTTTGCTGATTTTTCATCGATAACGGTGGGAATAAAAACCATCACCACATGGTATAATATATCTGGAATAACCTTCACAGATAATAATAACACCGGTTTGAGTTACCCTAGGTATTATATTCAAAAAGATTGTGTGATCCGTGACACACCACTCGATGACTTTTAAACTGCAATAAATTATTTTTGTGGTCCCTCAAATGCTCCAGTCATTTTTCAATACTTTAAGTTTCAATTTCAACCCCTATTCTAGTTAACTTTTGGCTAATAGCACAGCACGTGTCCCGAAAATTGCTTGAATCCATCAAGTCATTGCCAAGTTATTTAGTCAAACATGAGTCACTGGTGCATAGGGGATTTTTCCTACTACCCCCATGCACCCTTTGTTTGTAGAAATTGATAAATTACCCCCGTTAATGTGACGAAAATTTAATTTCACCATATGGATCGTAATTAATTGTTTTTTTTTTTACTTTTTCAGCATTGTTTGGCGCGAGCTTTGTACGATAATATCCCGGATTCACCTGACGAGCTCGCATTTCGTAAAGGGGATACTTTAATCGTCCTGGAACAGAATACGGCAAATATCGAAGGGTGGTGGTTGTGCTCTCTGCGAGGTAGACAGGTAATTTGTACTATTTATAGGCAAAATATTATTTCTAGGACTTTATTTTCAATTAGAATTTCCTTAAGTAGTGTTGTTTTAGGGATTAGATAAGTTAGTTTTCACAAATATTTGGTTTAGATAATGCATTTCGTAATTCGTTTAATTTTTCGAATCATTTTCCTTGAAATATTGGAAATTTAACATTTACTAACTTATAATCCGAAATGTTTGTTCTACTCGGGGCGAAGCCCCCGATAATTTTGACAAAATATTTGCGAGTTAGATAGTGTGAGTTTGACAAAATATTTGCGAGTTAGATAGTGTGAGGTTTAGAAGGGGGCGAGCGGCAAAGCCG